TATATATATATATATATATATATATATATATATATATATATATATTTTTTTATGGGATAATGTAAACACTGTGTATTTGAAATTGTATTTGCTTTTTATTCTTTCATTTTTATTGTTTTAGTATATTTGCATGTAGAGTTACACTTGCCGGAAAAGAATGTTACTGTCATTTTCTGCCTAATGTGCAAAGACAATAAATATTTATTTTTCAACCGTGACATGTCACAACATTTATTAACATTCAAGAACTAAAAATAGAGCAGGCCATTTTTAGAGAACAAGAAACCTGGTTAGACTAGATTTTCCTCTATTTTTATCACGTTCAAAAGCCAAGCTATTTAAGCTATCTTCCTGCAATATGCATATTTTTTTTTCTTTGAGAAGTGATTTTCATGTTGAATAATATTTCATATCTATATTTTATTGTGGGCAATAGATTTTTCAATGGCAGCACGATCATATTTTTATCTTAGAAAAAATGCCACACTGACTTTTTGTAAGTCCTGCTCACTGTTTATATTATTTAAAAAAAATGTTGTGCATCACTAGGCATTTTTTTATTACTATTTGGGCATAGCCATATTAGTCTTAATATATTGAACTTTGATTTTGTTTTTATTGTATTAGTTAACCATAACATCATGTTTACAATAAAAAGCTTCATCTGCATGATAGTAACCATATAGTAAACATTCATAAAAATGAACATTTAAGTATTATGGATTATTTAACATCCTTTTAACAGAAATTATAAATATTTTATCATGTTGTTACCACAAAAGCCAATAACGTTTGTTGAAAAATAAATAATACAAGGTAGCCTATTTTTTTTAAATCTTTTTGTTTGAATAGCTGCAATAATATAATAGGTTATGACGACAAAATGTTTCAAGACATCAGGATTTGGCTTATTTATTACTCTACACTACAAATAAAGACTTATGACAGGTTTATGTGCTATAAATAAATAAAAAAATCAATTAGTATACTAAATTAGCTCCTGCTTTATTACAATTTTATTTAAGATTTAAAGTTTCATATTAAATAATTTAATTTTGCAGTGAGCTAAATGTGTGTGTGTGTGTGTGTGTGGAGTTGGGTGTCGGAGTGTGTGTGCTTCAACCTAACTATGTTTTCCTAGTGGGAAAACCCCTCACAATAGGCCTGCCTTACACATACAAAAGTAACCAATCAGCGCCAAGAAACAATAGTGAATGGCCAATGTCTATAGAGAATACTGTGACGTAATGCCATACCAACGGTGAGGTCGTCTCCTGTAAATAATAAATGTAGACTATGTAAGCTGCGTTATAGCGTATTGTTTCGTTTTTCCCCCTAATGTGGAACAAATATTTAAATGCTTCTTGTTCATTTCAGTAGTGGCAGCCCTCTGACCGTAGAATTAGCTGTCGCCACGGCTAACGTTAGCCTGACACTCAGCTGTTTTGAACGCTAGCGATAGCTAGCTAGCGGCTGAGCTAACACAGGTTACAACAGGGAGAATTTATCATGCCTTTAAAAGCCGCTTTTTAACTGTGATGAGCGCATGAGATGATCTGTCAGTCACCAGTAGCCTCTGAGTGACCTGCCGCGTCTCGAAGGTAAGTCGTCTGCGCCGCTTGCATTGGCTATGAATGACTGTTTGGTGCATTTTAGCTATTTCCCTCTCAGAAAGGGGTGGAGGGGCTTTAACTGACAGTTTCTGCCTGGTGATACACTCCTGCATAGTATGTCAAAGAACATGTTAAATTAAATCCAATGTGAATTTTGGGTCTTTATGATGGACAACACACATTAATGCCATAAGAGCGAGCGCGTGCACTTTTCTACCAGGTTAAAAATATCTTAAATTGCAGCATTGTCTTATTTCAATCCTGTGCATTGCAGATCAATAGTAAGTTAAGGATCGGTCCAGATGTTGTGTTGAATCTTGTAAACAAAAACGTGCTTAGTAAACATTTTTGTTTTAAAGTAGTCTTTGCTGTCATCCTTGCCACCAATGACGGATGCGGTGCATCAGATATGCTCAACACCATCACATCTGAGACGTGATTAGGGGAAATCCACCATGCTGATGCTCGTCCTGTCATGCGTGGCAGACAAAAAAAAAAATCCACTGTCTGCTCCTTATCTATTTTTAGCACTTTCAAATGTGTAGATTTGAGTAATTACACACGAGGTGCTCCTGAAAGCAGAACATCAACTCACGGATGACTCTGCTTCACTATTTACCAATGAGAACTATTTCATAAATATGTGATCACACTGCAAAAAAGATCGAGAAACTAAACTAAAAATCTCTTCAATTAAGTGTATTTACCCTTAATTAGAGTAGGTAAATAAAATGATTTGCCAATGGAATGACTATTTTTATGCTTAAAATAAGATAATTAGATAATATGCACTTGAAATAAAACAATGAAATTATTTATTCTTATTTTAAATGTAAATTGTCTTGTTCCATTGGCAAAGTGTTTCACTTACCTCCTCAATTCAAGAAAAAATGCACATATTTTAAGAAAAACTGACTTATTTAGATTTACAGTTTTTGTAGTGCACCAGTCACTGTAATGGGAAAAGTTTTTTTTACTGAGTTGATGATCCTTTTGCCTTCAAAACCACCCTTAATTCTTATGAAAGATGTCAGACAATTGTTGTTTTAGATATAACAGCTGCAAATCCTTAATGTGAATGTCTGTTTTTTTATTTTTATCTCCCAAAGGTATGGAGGTCATTGGTAGGACATTAGTAGGGTTACCTAATCGAGATGTTAAGAAAAACTAAAATGTTTTAAGGTTTCTGCTTCCGTAAAAATTCAAAAAATATCCACTGGACTTGGTTTTCAAGATTTGAAGACGTTTCTCCACCTTTCCAGGAAGCTTTCTCAATTCAAATGTCTGGATCCGCAGTGAGTTTGAGTCTTATATAGACAAAGCCTTGTATCGCTTGGAAACATGCAATGCTATATAAGACTCAAACTCACTGCGGATCCAGAAATTTGAATTGAGAAAGCTTCCTGGAGAGGT